GGTTTCCGTGGCAACGATCGCGGCGGCTTTGGCGGCCGTGGTGGTGATCGTGGTGGCTTCCGTGGTGGGCGTGGCAATGATGCACCCCGTTTTGGTCATCCCGCGCCTTCACTTGATATGAACCGACAGAGCGTGAAGTTTGGCAGCGACGACGATTAAGAGGATACTCCTGTTTTAGGTATTTATGCTTTTTTTGGTGAGGGAAAAAACATTTCTGCGTTTTAAATGTTAAGTCATGATAAATCTGATTAAAGGTGCTGCTATTATTTGATGCGTGCCATTTTCATATAATTTCTCTAGTTCCATGACATAATAAGTTAACACTGATAATATAAACTGTTGAAGAAAAACCAATCCGACGTACATTTAGAACCAAAATAAGGCAGGAGAAAAATGAATGGGAAGATTCTTTAACCATAAATTGTACAATTTTTATCCCGTGTTCTTTTTTATCAACTTAAATAATAGCCTAAACAGTGGAAGAAGTGCTGAAATCAAAGGGACGGAAGTCATACATTATACTCACAAACCTGACAAAAAAACGACTTGGAAGGAATGAACTCAGAATGCGGACGAAAGAAGGAACCCCATAGGCTATCGTTGACCCCTGTGCAAACGACCAACATCACTTTTGATATCAACAATATCGAATGGTCAAAGCTAGAAAGCAAGTTCAACCAACTTATGGACTTAAGAAGTAGCTCCACTGCGGGGATAAGCTCTGCACAGGCAAGGACAGAGCACTGGGACAATGTTTCAAATATCATTGCTTCCCTTTTGGAACAAGCACTAGTGGAGTGTGGAGCGCTTCTCTTTCAAGGCAAGGCTGATGCAGCTGAAGCAGCCGGTGTGCAGACCTTGCGGTTGCGCGAACGCTTCTTTGGGCCAAAAGATCTCGAACTTGTACCCGCCTATTTTCATCTTGCGCGTGTGAAGCAGTATATGAAGAAGTATGCGGAAGCGGAAGAAATGCTTTTACTGGCCCACTTCCTCATTCTGAAAAACCAAGAAAAAGTATCGACAACAACAAAGGCAGAGCTACACCAAACCTATGGATTACTTTATGCTTCAGATGGGAAGCTCGACCCCGCAATCAAACATTTGAGCTGCGCCTCATATTACTTTAGTTGCATGTACGGCCCGAAACACGTGCTCACAACTTTTAGTTATTTCGATCTAGGCAATGTATTCGCTGCCAACTCAAACATCGAGAGCTCGATGGCCACATATGATGCCATTAAGGAAATCTGGTACGAGCATTTAGTTGATGTTTTAAATGAAATTATTCAAAAGAAAAAAGAGTCCGAAAGGTTCAAAAAGTACGAAGATGAGGAAGAAATTAGAAAGTTAGTATACGCTTCTAAGCAAGAATTCGGAGACGAAAACTTAGCCGTCGCCTCTAAGATGCTGTATGGCATTCACAGTATCCAAAAGGAACGATTTCGGGTCTCGCACCCAACCCCGACGCGGTCACAGTTCATCTTGGGTCTTTTCCTGCTTTGGATAGAGGACTACGGCGAGGCTGAACTGCATATGATAGAGGCACGAAAGGCGTCACAAGTCTTTTACGGTGAGCGCCATCCCGTCGTGACGGAGATTGAGGGCTGGTGTGACAAGTTTGATATCAACTATATTGAGGAGACGCAGGCCAAAGACGACTCAGAGAGTGAGAACGATGAGCCGGAAGCCCCTGAGTGATGGAACGTGTGTGACTTCTAGATGGCGCGGGGGTGACACTTGTTTTGCGGATGAGCGTTTTCGGATCATCTTTGCGTTTTTCTATTGTATCTCAAATTCAAATGACTCGTGCTTTTTCGCCATTCAATGTGTCACTCAATGTCAATGTACAACTCGATTTCCTAAAAAAAAATATGTATCATACACAAGGAGGTCAATCATCGATCGAGGTGTTTTTCTTTCTATCGGGGTTACATGTTTCTCGTTCCCCTTTTGAATATTATCTTTTACAAACCGTGCCCAATACAGGCAGAAGCTAATTGTCAGTGATCTGACATTACACAAACAGATGAAAATCGGTGTCTACTGCCCAAAACCATCTTATCATTAGGATATATTCCGCAAATGTGCCATTAACTCTCCTGTTGTTGTTCTTATTTAACGAAAACCATTACTCTGATGTATATTACATCTTTTGAAATCTAATAAGTCATTCAAGCGTGTCGCTCGAAAGTTTCAATTTGTTTGTTAGAGCTCTGCCACTAAGCCTCAGAAGTGCCTATCATTTGCTCACGCACTCTTTTTCCGTCTCGACGACATGTCCTTGAATAAAATGCTAGATGTTCAGCTACAGCTGAAGTTCACCGCTAAGCAATTCGCTAAGAATTCCGCCCGATGCGAAAAGGAGCAGAAAGCAGAGATGAACCGATGCCGGAAGGCTATGGAGAAGAACAACCTCGACGGGGCCCGCATCTATGCCGAGAACTGCATTCGAAAGAGAAACGAGGCGCTGAATAATCTGCGCCTTGCGGCCCGCATCGACGCGGTCGTCTCGCGCTTGGATACGGCAATCAAGACGAAGATGGTGACGAAGAACATGGGGCAGATGGTGCATGGAATGGATCAGATGCTGCAGTCGATGGACCCTGCCAAGATCGGCCACCTCATGGAAAGCTTTGAAAAGCAGTTCGAGACGATGGACGTGACGTCGGCTTACATGCAGGAGGCGATCGGGCAGAGCGTCGCGACGACGGCGCCGGAGGATGAGGTGAGCCAGCTCATGGCGCAGGTCGCCGACGCCCACGGGCTCGACCTCAAGGCTAACCTTGACGATAAACTCCGTATTAACGATACGAAGCTGAGCACGCCGGCCGTGGCGGAGTCCCTCCCGGATAAAGAGCTTGTGGATCTGGAAGAACAGTTCGCGCGGCTGCGCGGGCGTTGAGAGGTGATGGCATGCTAAACGCCGGCACATCGACAAGAAAGAAAAGTGTAAGATTAGAATGGGTGTTGGCTAGAATAAGAGGAGGAAGGTTGTGGGATAACCTTCACCAGGTTTCTTCTGGGTTTTATTCGTGATGTGATTTTTTCTCTCTATTTTTCCAGTTTTTTTCGGGAAAGTAGGGCAATACCATGTTTAAATGCTTTATATCTTTGTGTTTCCTTCTGATACTGCTTGTCTACTTCTTTTTTCCATTTTATATCATATTGGTGAGCCCCTAGAAAAAGGAGGACACAAACTTTATGTTTGTGTGTTGACTCTTTTTTCCTCTTGGCGCATGTGCATGGAGGCTGTTATATTTTCTTAGCTGCATAAGATATATGGCTGATTGCAAATGAATCATGAAAAATTGAATACATCCATTGGAGGACCTTTTGTAGTTGACAGCCTTTTTTACTTCTGAAAAAGGGGGATAATTTTTCAAATTTTTCATTTGGTTACACAAATGGATTCCTATTTTTCTTTTTACCATCAAACGAAGTCTGGCTCGAAGGATAACCTTCTCTACTTCCGTGCACAAGTACCAATCCATCTTTTTTATTTTCTTAGAAGTATTAAATAATTCGGACCGTTATTGATTCAACATTAACGGAAATATCCATTTCGAGCCATTATTTTTAGTTTTCATAGATGCGCGAAAGTCTCTATGGCACGATAAAGGAAGTCCCAGCTGAGCGTCATCACAGCCCTTCTCCTACGGTGCGCTTTCACAGCCCCCGGACGCGTGAGGAAGGTCGACCCAAGGCGGTACTGACCACTTTAACGCTCTTCGGAGTCATGTACGCGTCCACCATTAGCGGTGGATACGGCATGGAGGACTCCGTCCGCGCTGGAGGTCCACTGCTATCCATCGTTTTTCTCTGTCTGATCCCGTTTGCGTGGGGTATACCCGTATCACTTTGTGTTGCTGAGCTATCCTGCGCCATCCCATCGAATGCGGGACCTGCAATGTGGGTGAACTGCGCGTTCCCATCCTGGGTTACCTTCACGACGGTCATATGGACCACCTTCCTTAGCACGGTAGATAACAGCTTGTATCCGGCGATTCTCGCGGATTACTGCACGGTGCTCTTTGATTTTGACTGGATTGCTAAGATTTTCGTAAAGATTGGTTTCTTAAGTCTTTGTATGATCATCAACATAGTCGGCTTCAGACTTTTAGGTCCCCTTAGTGTTTTCATCGTGATCATCACGCTAGTTCCGTTCATTCTCATGTTTGTTTTACAGTTGCAGAACGGCTTGAGTTGGGAGCGAATCAGCTATGTGCCTGAGGCGGTCGACTGGGCCCTCTTCTTACCGGTCGTTACGTGGAATTTTTCTGGTTTCGAGGCGGTAGGAAACGTCATTGAGGAGGTACAAAATCCGAACTCTACGTACATCCGCGCGCTTGTGCTAATGATCATAGCTTCACTTTTCACCTACATTCCCCCTATTCTAGCCGGGGCGAGCGTCAAAGCACTCGAATCAGTACCCTTTGAGGACTGGGATGACGGCTTCTGGGTGAAGGTTGGGGGCGCCGTCGGTGGGACCCCGCTAGCAGCCACGGTGCTCTTTGGCGGTGCCATGTCGATGTTTGGTCTTATGACAACACTAATAGCGACCACATCGCGGTCCCTAGCTGGTATAGCTGGGATCAATGCCTTTCCAAGCTTCATTTCGAATTGGCTGCAAAAATACTCGATGACGTTCAACGCACATGTCAATGCCATCGTTTTAAACACGATTTTAACTGGGACTCTTTCAATCTTCTTCACCTTCAAGACTTTGGTGCAGGTGGACCAGGTGCTCTACGCCTTGCGACTCGTCACCATCTTGTTCGCTTTCCTAAAGCTGCGCTTTCGCCAGCCCCTGCTCGAGCGACCCTACCGAGCACCGGGTGGGAACTTCGCGGCCTGCTTATGGGCTGGAATCCCGATCAGTTTTAGTCTCTTTTTGATCGCCATGACAATGGCAGGAAATTCTTTAATTATGTACAGTAGTACTATATTAGTCCTTGGGACGATTCTGATATCCGTCGTGACGGTTCGATTTTTCAAGCGCGATGGGTTTGAAGGGTCACTTGTGGAGGTGTATGAAGATCCTGATATGCAAGCATATGGGTCACTTCTCGGTATTGAGTCTGAGCAGTGGCGGAAATTTCATCCAACTAGTATCTTTATTGAGCATCCACCCACAATAAACTATGAGCGATTTGAAAGCACCCGTTAGATACGGGTTGGTGTATGTGTAAATCGAAATGAATACATAAGGTGTGAATCCAGATTCAAACAATTGGCTTGCAAATATGGGCAAGCATACTTATACGTCAACAAGGACATAGATAAATAATATTATTTACACATTATTTTCATATGGGTAGATACTACTTCAGTCTCAATGTCGTTTCACTTTCACCACTATTATTGTATCCTCCGGACAAGCACAAAAATTAATGAATGTCAAAGGGAGACATTCATTCTAAAGATAAACGCATCGATTCACTGATCCAATCAATTATCTAACCTCATTCTGAAATACTTTATTCTTAAGCCTATATAACACTACGGTAGACAATGATATTATTTGTAAAAATGGTATCCTCAGTGCTTTCATGGCCTTTCGACAGGTGGATTCTCAAACATCTCACTCTTAACAACATTTCCCCTGTCAGATCTTCGGTATTGCAGCTATTCCATTTTTATAACTAGAAAATTAAGGTCATCTTTTGACCCCCCTCTTCATTCTACCCTAAGTTTCAAAGATGTCAGCGGTTCATCAGCCCCCGAAAGTTTGGGATGCGCGCTATTTGAATCCCGCCGTGCCGCATGATGCGAAGTACTATTTAAATTGCGTTGGTGGGGGTATCTTCGCCTGTGGCCTAACCCACACCGCCGTCTGCCCGCTTGATGTGGTGAAGTGTAACATGCAGGTCTGCCCTGAGAAGTACAAATCGCTTCCTCAAGGCATGCGGTTGATGATGCAGGAGCAGGGTCTCGGCAGTGCGGGCCTGTTCAGGGGCTGGATTCCAACGCTGCTAGGCTACTCGGCTCAGGGAGCCTTAAAGTTTGGCTGCTATGAAATGTTCAAGGACTTGTACTCAAATATGGCAGGTGAGGAGCTCACGAAGAGCTGCACTGGCTTGATCTGGCTGGCGGGTTCCGCCTCTGCGGAGTTCGTCGCCGATATCTTCCTTTGCCCCTTCGAGATGGTGAAGGTTAAGGTTCAGACGTCTCCCAAGGGAACATTCCCCACCGCCACGCTCTCGGCCATTTGTAAGATGAAGTCGGACAAAACCAGTGGCTTCCCGTTCAAGTCTCTGGTACCACTATGGGGCCGTCAAATCCCCTACACGATGGCGAAGTTTTTCTTCTTTGAGAAGGTGGTGCGCAGCTTCTACAAGTACGTCTTTACGGGTCCGCGTGATGAGTACAGCAAGGCCACGCAGCTGAGCATCACGTTCATGTCAGGCTACATCGCTGGTATCATCTGCGCGATCGTATCTCACCCCGCTGATTCCTTGGTTTCGGCCCGCGGCAAGGCCAGCAACGCTGGAAAGACGTACGGCCAGATCGCAAGGGAGGCGGGATACAAGAACATCTGCACTAAGGGCTTGGGCACGCGTATTCTGATGATCGGCACGTTAACTGGTCTGCAGTGGTGGATCTATGACAGCTACAAGACCACCCTCGGCATGGGTACTAGCGGTCACTAGAAAAAAAGCCGATTTGATACTTCTCTCCTTTAATTAAAAAATGATTACAGGATGTCTACTTTATAATTTGTTGGGTATTTAAAGGAAAAAGAATATGAAATAAATTTATACCAGTTGTTGGTACTGATTCAGCCCTACTTCAAGGGGGAAAGTGAATACGTCAGTGAGTTTTTTCTAGGTGAAATTGAATATAAATAGAACTTCACCTCAAGGATCAGAAGTGCATTAATAATTTTTAGGGAGAAATTTTGAATGCATCTGATTTGACAACAAAGGATAATCATGATTCTTCTGTAGTCAAAAAAAGTGATTAAAATTTAACTAAAGTTGTTACTAACCATTATGAATAAACAAAATAGGAGGGGAAGTATGAGATGTTCCCTTTTGTTTTGCACTCTAGATCATTTCTTTCAATTCATTTGTATTCCCTTCTCATTCTCAACCATAACAGACGATCTAAATCTTAATGAAGCTGCCCATATTACAGGTAAGGATTACTTTAACGACCACTAGAGCAAGGTAAGTGAAAAAGCAAAGCAATGCCTATTGGCTCGGGCACACTTACTGCGGAGGAGAAATACATTGTTTGGTCTGAGCGAATCCGCTTGATGTTTCAACCCCCTTACCTTTTTCATAATCATTACCCTACGGATCGTTATGAGCGCGTATATTCGGATAAAAATGTAAATATGGGCTTGGGTGGTGGTTCGGGTTCTGAGGACCTCCCGCATTCCTCCTCCTCATCGATCATCCACGGCAGAGTTGAAAGCGTAGGGGGTTCTACGAAAAAGGATCTCTCGTCGGACGTAGGGGCCTCACACCCTGACAAATATTATGATCAGGACATGTATCCGTTTTGCTTCTACAGGCGAATGCTTCAAACAGTGGGAAAAGAGAATTCCCCACGTCCGTCTTACGATCACCACTCCGAAATGGACACCTTCAACGCGGAAGATGTGATCGCCGATCGCTTGGCCGTCAAACTGCGCAATGCAGCGGCTGAGACGCGGAGACAAAAAGCCAAGGAGTCTTCCCGGGAGAATTTAGAATTTGTTAATGCTGTAAAAAAGGATCTTGGGCGAGGTGGAGATTCAATAGTTTGCCGCGATGCTTCTTTGGATGTAATGTTGTCAGCTATGCACGACGATATGACAGAACTGTTACTTTATGCTCAGAAGGAAAATAGGGCCTCACACGAGTTGCAATCTCAGCTGGCGCATAGTAGACTACTGCTACTAAGATATTCTACAGCTAACGAAGGCGAATATTCAACAGCTAGAAGTGATACCCAGTGATTTTGGTAGTCATTGCTATATTATAAACAGAACTGAGGAAGGGATGCTTGTTTTTTTCCTAAACACGAAAGATTCAATTTCGGAGGGGATATAGGGCACATCAAAACTATATATATTTTATGCTCATAATTATTCTTCTTGATTTTCACTTGTGCGTGTGTGTTGGTGTCGTTGCTACGCAGTGCATCCTAAATTTCCCACATCTGTTTTAAGTTTCCCCTCTAGTTAATTTTGAAGAAAGTAACCCAACCTTCTATTCCCTCCAAGCTATAAGCAAGATTGAATAAATTATAATTAAACCCTCGGAGCAAATATACATACCTAACGAAATATGGATGAGAACATTCCAGCAGCGTTTTTGTGCAGTCTCATAGGTCGCAACGTGCATATTAAAAGCAAGTGGGGGCCAATCTATTCGGGTACACTTGTAAGCTGTGATCCGTACATGAACTTGCAGCTATCCGACGCTGTGGAGTCGGCGAAGGAAGAAACCAGTCTTGGGGAAATGTTGCTCCGGCACAATAATATACTCTATATAAGGGAAGCCCCTAAGGTATAATAGAAGTGATAAAAAAAGCCTGTGGGCAACGTCTTACTCGTGTTCTCTTGACCACTTCGGTTTGCTTGTTTTGATCGGTTTCGATACAACATGGACGTAATGTAAGACCGTATTAATTTTTTGACTGTTATCACAGCCCCCCCTCTCTCGTTTTCTCCACCATCACTGTGTGGTGAAGGAATAATGGGATTCTGCTTTCAGATCAACTGTCTCTCAACATACGCATGCATCCCAATCTCTATTGCTACATGTTTCCCTTATACTTTCTCCATCTCTCCCCCCCCCCCCCCCTTTGTTAATCTAATGCAACCCTACATACTAGCAATCTAAACACTTCCTAAGACATTCAAAGCTTTCCTCCACCAAACAAACTACCGAGCATACACACTCCGCCCAGCGTCTACGCCGTCGTTTCATCATGGCACATATTCAAACCAAGTGGGCTGAGCGGAAGGACCGCCTGTACATCACCCTCGAGGTCACCTCTGCGAGTGACGTCCAGGTGAACTTCGAGGAGAAGAAAATCTCCGTCGCCGCGCGCGGGATCCCCGCGCAGACCTCCGAACCACGTGAGCTCCACTGCGAGCTCCCCCTCCTGAAGGCGATCACCCCGGCGGAGTCGACCTATAAGGTCCTCGGCGCCTGCATTCAGATCTGCGCGATCAAGAAGGATACGGAGTATTGGAACCACCTCGTGGACCTCCCGGCACGACAGGTCAAGTCCTGGCTTTCCGTCGACTGGAACCTTTGGAAGGACGAGGATGATGAGGCGCTCGGGGATAACCGCGACGCCGGGTTTGGGGGATATGGGGATATGTCGTCGATGCTTGGAGGCGGCGCCGGCGGGATGGACTTCTCCTCGATGATGCAAAATATGCCGCCGATGGAAGGCGGCGACTCCGACGACGAGGAGGAGGACGGAGCCCAGATCGAGGACGACGCCGAAGAGGAGGAGCTCCCCAAGCCGTCAGAGGAGGCTGCAGAGTCGAAGGACTCGGCCTAAGTAAATTTGACTAAATTATTAGATTTGACGTTAATTTTAATTATTTCTATATGATATTATTATTAGGTATGTGTGGTCGGCGACAAACAGAATAACAAAGAAAGAAAAATGGGCGAAGATAGATTGACTTATTAAAAAAAAAGTGCACACCATATACCTCTATTAATATTCTGAAAGTGAAAACACTAAGGTAAGATTTAAAAGGTGAATCAGAAAAGGAACGAGTATCAGGTCAAGATTTCTTGATAAACTGATCAGAGGGTTTTCTATTAACTTATTTAAGCATACGTTATTACGAATTGCACTGGCAACTGAACTTTAGTGCTGCTTTATTTTTTTTACGTGATCACTGGACAGCTGTTTTCCTGTATACAAAATTTTGCCCAGGGTATTTTTTGGAATCCTTTACGTACATATACTCAAGATTATATTGGTAATGCTCCAAAAGAAGCTGCATACAACTAATTAGAAAATTCTAGTCCGAACACTTTTGAAAACCAGGTTGAATATAAAATGGGTGCTGTCGAAGAGCCGGACTCAACGTTTATTGGTCGACTGAATGACTTTTTCATAGCTGGCGAGAACACTGATGCCATTGGCAATTTTTTTAGTCAGAAACGCGAAAGTCTGATGAAAATACTCGAGGATGAATTCACTACAGACTCACAGCTCGGCTTGGAGGCTTACGCGATGTACCAAGAGTACAGCCGAATCATCGAGGAGATTACCAAAGCATTTATGAAGAGTGAATCCATTCAGGGTCGATCGCTGACGGATGAGGAGGTGGCGAAGCTCATCCTGGAGTTGGTTGAGAATCCCACCGCGTCATTGGAGCATTTGTGTGTGGATTACATTGCCGGGCAGCTCGATTTTAAGAGGTTCTTGGATTTGGCAGCCGATATGTGCAGCCTCCTCAGCGCAGAGTGGGAGGAGGAGGACGAAGAGCATGAGGAGGAATATGAGGAAGAGTATAAGGAGGCCGACACAGTATGATGCTTTTGCGCGTGTGATGAGGGAGAAGAACTTCGGGGCGAAAAAAAAAGGGATGCAAATGGAGGCGGTGCTCTTCCACAAGTGATTTTGTGTAATGAATCTTTGAGGTTGCAAATGTATGTAAAAGGACATTTGGAAAATAATATATCGACTATATACGAGCTCAGGCAACGGATTAGCCACGCGCAAGGAAAGGGGACCTCTACTTTACTTTCGCCTAGTCTCCTTCTTTCTTATTCGTTCAAAATGATAGGGTTGTGTAGCTTATCAGTTGCTTTCAAAGCAATTTCATCGCCCTCTATTCTCTATCAGGAATCACCAAAAGGTCGTGTTAAAAGTGAATATGGCTATAGTCAATATTACATGGAATTTCTCATGAGTCTGATGACAAAAATGCACCTTTTTCTCATAGTGGCAGTAGAAGCCCTACGTATAGAATACTTGAATGGAATCTCGTAAAGTTACTGTCTGAGAGGATGACGAAGGGCAGATCTAGGATGTGATCACCTACATGTTCTCTTAAGACAATCCTTTCTGTTCCTGATGCCATGCGTTGTAATTTTTTTCTTCATGATTATTGTTATCACCATTTTTTACATTTCACCCCTTTGGTGGCGAGTGGCATTTCTTTTCCATAAGATGTAGTGCTCCGTGGAAAGTCGCAATAGCATGGTGGTTGAAAGGGAAGACAATGGAATGAGTTGCCCGTTAGATCCATGTCGAGAGGCGAAGTCGTTCAGAATGGACTTGCTCTTTGTTCTATGTATCGCTCCAATCTTGAATTAGCCTCAAATGATGCAGACAATTAGCATGCATGTAAGGCAACAAAAACAATAAAAGATGCAAGTGAATGATAACAGTCTTTGGTGGAGCATTTGTTATCTAAAACCCCCTAAACCTATCTTCTTCCTCATTGTATGTATCGGATGTGTTTTTCGGACGGGTATCGAGTGATGCAATACAATTGCTTTCAGAAAGGGGTAAAGTTAGCCTCAACATGAGCTGACGCGCTGCTAAACTACACACCAGAGGAGATCCCCCATCGAGAAAGCAAAGGATGGAAATGAGCAAAGTCTTCTGAAGCTTAATTCCAATTGTTTAGATTTTAGTAATATCGTCCGATAATTGCAGACTATCAACTCATCCTCCTTTTCCATTCTGTTTACACAATACGTATATTATATTTTCAGTCCTATGTAACGTACTTTATGCATCTTCGTATGCATATTATTTATTTAATGTCATATAATTGCAACCCTCTCTGCGCGTAAGTACATCCCGTGCGTGTAGCTGGACATAATGCACATTAATAAATAAATGAGATGTGTGAAGCATGATTCGAAGGCCTACGAGTGGTGTCATATAGATGAACTTATCGCTTTACTGTTTTCTCACCTTTTTTCTCCATTGTTGAAACCTTCTCACCGTTATATGTTTGCCTTTTGCGTTTCATTCCAACGCAAAGGGGACAAAGCAAGTGATCCTGCATCAGTCTTCGGTGTCCATCTCACCGTACATTGACAGAGTTCTTTATCGATTCCTTTTTCTTGCGACTTCTCAGATGGATATACGAATCAAAGGCCTCCACGCGGTTGCCCAATGGTGCTGGGATTGCAAAGGAGATACCTGCGGGATTTGCCGTCGCCCTTTCGAGGCCCCCTGCCCATGCTGCAACTTTCCTGGTGAAAATTGCCCCCTTCAAACGGGGCGCTGCAACCACACGTTTCACCTGCATTGCATCGAAAAGTGCACTTCCGCGGAGGAGAATATGGCCTGCCCGATGTGCCGCCAGCCGTGGGATTGAACAGAGCGTAGTATGGAGAAGGGATATACAAAGAGAGAGGAAGGGGTGATATCCTTATAGATACAACACGTTTGAGTTCATTGTGGGTGGAAGAACTCTATGGAAATCTAGATCACGTACATTATAAATGCATGCGTATACGACATGTAACAAACATCATCATTACGCAACGGTTTTCGAATCCTTAAACCCAACCCGTTGTCGGTGTTGAGTGAATTTGAAAGATTTTTTACGCCTGTATTCTTATGCCATGAAACGTGATAAAGGATTTGGATTTTTTTGTTTACATAGTTCCACAACCGAATTTTCTCATAGGTTTGACATTGAGTGATGCTTCGTGGCGCGTCGCCACTGCTAGCCGCCGCGCTATTGAGGAATGCGATCGGCCATCCCAACGGACTCGCGCGAGTCCACGTTGTCAAAGGGGATCCTCCCCACAGCGCGGAGGGGGAGCTCGTCGTGAAAGCGGGAAAGGAGGCGTCGCCGAAAGTGCACGCTGAGGATTCGCTTCCGTCGTTAGACGGTTGGACCTCGCTCGCTTCGGAGCCTCACGTGCAGCTCCAGCCCGAGATTGAGCCCATGCCCCTCGTGAGCTTCCATAAAATACGATCCTTCCTAACGTTCATGGCTGTCGGTGCGGCGGTGGTCGGGGGGTTGTACTTTCTGCTAAGCATCCACATCCGTCATGAGGTGGAAGAAGAGCAATTGGCGATGGAGGAATTGAGGGAGCGCAGTCGCCTTGCCCTGCTGGAACGAGAAAAGTTGTTTCCCGATTTCACCGCCCCCAACACCTACGAAGAGATGCAGAGGCTCATGCAGCAACAGGAGCGCGAACTTGCGGCGCAAGAGGCAGAGATGATTTCCTCCGCTTGCATGCTACACTCGGAAGTGATATTTCGCCTTAAAACGTGGTGGAATCGCTCCCTTGCCCACATACAGGATGCTGTGGATCTTTTTTTCACCACTCTTGAGCAAAGAAGGTCGTCTGGGTTGAAAGGTAAGATTGAGACGACATTACGTCAAAATTCATATGAGTTAGTGGAGCTCCACCAAATCGGTCAGAGCGGGATGGGGAAAAGGGATGTTTAGGGACACGTAAGATTATTGTGGGATCTCTTCATATGCATATTTTTTTCGTCTTGCAAACCGTTAGGTCTACCGTTTTCCGTCTTTCCTCCTTATCGTTCTTCCGGTTCGTTCATCCCTAAACTGAGTTGTTGGGGTGGAGAAATGAACTTCCGAGAAACTGATGTACGACTAGAGGAGAAAGAAAAATAATATAGCGAAAACAAAAGCGACGATTATATGCAACACACTTTCATAAATCATTCTGCCCTTTCTCATCTCGTTGCATTGCACTTTATGTGTTTCCCTTTTGGATTTTTTCTGGCACTTTTGCGAATTTAAGTGGCGGTCTCTATAGCGGGATAACATAGTGGAGGAGGGCTCTGTTGGGTGGTTGGCAATTGTACCCCCCTTCCCTTCGCCTTGCTTATTTCATCTTTCTACGGCTTTGAGGGAAAAAAGGGCGCGTCAAAGGGGCAACAATAAGAAGCATCTAACCGAAGAACAGAAGCAAGTAATTTAATCAAACAAAAACAAATGGATCGACCCCGTGATCGCGTCGCCCTCCCGCTCACCTGTGGGGAGGAGACGACCTTGCCAGGGGTCCCTGGCCTCGGCTGCGTTGCCGTCGTTACCTGCGGCGGCATTTCGGCCACCGTCGTCGCCACCGCCACGGCCGTCCACGTCCTTGGCCCGAACCTC